GCACTTCCCTAGTATTGCGATCTACATTGAAAGATTGCTCAACTTTGCCTCTGAGAAGTAAAGATGAAGAATGCCTGCTCCCATGTTCTTTATTGCGTTCTTCTCAGTGTTCGGTACATACGTCATACATAGTACAATACCTATATACCTGCGGAGAGGCAAGCGACCGGTTCTTCGATTGCTTCGCTCTTTTTCATCATTGCAACACGTATGTAGATAAGGAGCAGAGGCTACCCGGAAACCAGCAAATTTCATCACCTGGCCTATATCACATACTTTCCTCTTTTTAGGGCCGTATTAAAAGCTAGGGAAGTTAGGAGCATGGCAGTTCATTACACTGAGTTCAATGTTTTTAACTAACAGTTAAAAATGTGGCGCCTCACGCCATGTACATCGATACAGTGATTCGACTCATCCAAACTCAGGAGGAAATTTTCACGCCCCCTCTATCTCGTACCCTAGGTCAATTAGCGACAAGCACTAAATGGCGTTTGGAGGGTCATTAAAATCGTGAAAAGAGTAGCACTTTGGTTAGTGGTTTACATAGGTCAGGCCAAATGTCAGGCCACCACATGTAATTGATGTTCTATTCTTTCATTGTGCACGCATAGAAATTAAAGGGACCCTCCCACCTTCAAAAAAGTTTATGAATTGGCATGAAAGTGATGTCGCTCGGTTCAGAAAGAGCGAAAACGAATTTCTACCAAATTTCACCGAAAAATATTCACCGGTTTTCAAGATATTAGACTTTTACTTTTGTTTACTTTTGGGATCTCCGCTGTTCCTAGCGACTTTATTTGGAAGTAATAGTTTGGCAGCTGAAAGTGCGGCACTTGTTGCGCGCAAAGCAGCAATATACCACCGCGTGCTACAAAACGTTTTAGTCAAACTTTTAAAAATCGTTAGATATCTGCGCTGACGTCACACATTCAGAGGGGTATTCCTATGCATTAGCCCCTCTGAATCAAAATGCTGCAATTTTGAAATTCAATATTTCCGATTTAAGGCATTTCTCGATGTTGTGAGTGCCGAAACCGGTAATTGTGAGCCAGGGACCCCATTTTGGCTATCTCAACTCAAATCTAATGTTAAGGTGGGAGGGTCCCTTTAATTCGGTTTTAAAACTCACAGCGCTACAACATGGGAGAAAGTTGATCGATAATTTTTCCTGCCATTCTTAGCCATCAATATTTACAACATTGAAAACAAAATCGTTCAGTCCGTGCGTATAGCAAGGGTTAATGTGTATTTTCTCGTTATTTGGCGTGGTCATAACATGAGGCTAAAACCTGCGGAAAACCCTGTTTTGCAAAGTCATACAAAAACAATCGCCCACCATGGCACGGACAAAGTTAATTTTTTAGCGCAAATTGCGTGATAACTCAAATGTGTGAAACAACAAGGTAGGATGCCTTGGTTAGGTATATGCCTACGAAGAAAGATGACATTATGCAACCAAGACTGCATCGCAATGCTTTCAGATAAAGGTCATATGGGTAACAGTGTGTCATAGCGAAGGCTGATGTAATGCCGTTCCAAAGGTGTTGGCGTCGAGGAATGGAGGTTCGCAGCAGGGCTGTGGAGTCGATGGATTTTCGGCGACTCCGACTCCGACTCCGACTCCGACTTTCAAAAACCAGCTCCGACTCCGACTCCGACTCCGGGCAGAATTGTCGACTCCGACCGACTCCAACTCCCGACTCCGACTCCGCAGACCTAGCAGGGCTGCGGAGTCGCCAGATTTTCGGTGACTCCGACTCCGACTCCGGCTCAGGTTTCTAAAATCGACTCCGACTCCAACTCCGACTCCGGTCACAACTGTCGACTCCGACCGACTCCGACTCCGACTCCGACTCCGACTCCGCAGCCCTGGTTCGCAGTAACTCATTACTCGATGCACTCGATGGAACTTTACTTCTCGTAACACTCGTTTTAAGAATGGTTATCCCTCGGGATTATATAAAGTGTACGTTACCAATTAGCGGCGAATTTTCCTTAGGCGCTGCCACCCAATTCCCAGCCCAGAGTGGATGGATGTGTAGCTCTCGATATCGCACGATGCTCATGCTGGCTAAGCACCTCCACGAAGTGGTCTGTTCATTATCCGATTCTGAGTCTGATCAGCGGGGTGAGAAACCCAGTGGTGACGCTCAGCCCTGGATCAGCTGGTGACTGGAGACTGGAGACTGGAGACTGTCTGGAGACTGGAGACTTCTCTCGATCCTGCTGTAGACGCTCCTGGACACTGAGCTACGAGTGACACCCAGAAAATCTACAGCAGTCTACTAGACCATGGTGTCCGTCTCACACATTAATTGAATGGCCACGAATTACACGCACAAACACGGCACGTTTAGATATTTTCAGTTGAATTTAGAATATTTTATTCCACAGGCTCTCAGAGTTGAGATAGCTATTTGAATCAATGAAAATCGTCTCATGAATTGCCTAGTTTAAATGCCGGACACGTCTCCTTGACGGGATCTGTTCGTTCTACAGCGACTGTAGATACAGTTTCATCAGTCCGAGCTGCACATGAATATTCGAAGCGGCGATTCGCGAGAGGGACTAGTTTAAAAATGCATGGTTCTCTAATAGGGCCATGCTGTTCACAATTAGCGAGGCTGAGGAAAAGATAAATGCAATAAAGGAGCCGAGCTGACGACACATATGTAGATAACATGCTATACCTAGTTGTTTCAGGTCGTTATAGCAAAGCCAAAGGTAGCACCTACCTACTAAAATATGCGTGCTACATTTGATTACAGTCGACAGTCGCCCTTTCGCGTCCGGAACCAGAGTAGAAGGTTGTGGGTTTAAATGTCTATTGGCTATAATGTAACACAATATTGCAAATGCCCGACGACAAATGTAATGCTCAGCCCCGGTCTCTCACCCCTGACCTTTCAACACACTATTAAATCGGTGTTACGTTTTACATCGCCCAGCCCACCGCTGTGCTGTAAAGCCCTCTGAGAGCGCCACTCTCCAGGCTCGGCCGTTCTCGCTGTAAACCCCTCGGAGAGCGCCACTCTCCAGTCTCGGCCGTTCTCGGCTCGAGTCGGGGCTGTCTGGGTCCGTGTCACAGCCGTTTGCCGGACCGTCACCGAGCCCCTGGGCGGCACACCGACCGGGATAAAGTAGCTCCGCTTTGGGGCGCCGCCCGTCAGCGGGCAGATCAATACTGAACCGGCAGCCACCTCAGCTGCGACGTCGGAATCGCCGCGGCACGTAGTCGCATGTGACGGCTTTGCTTACGACTTCGCCACAGTTCATTACCATTCCATACTATATACTATACACCGCAGCTACCATAGATAGCTGCGGTGGAGCCGTCGGCGCCGGAAGCGCATTGTTTCCTGTAGAGAACGTCGGCTGTTCGTCTCCGCCTTCCGCCTGAGAGGAGAGGAGGCTGACAAGAGAGAAGAGAGGAGGAGAGAGGAGCGGAGGAAGATAGAGGAGCGGAGGGACAGAGAGGAGAGTGGTCGCTTTGCCGCCCGTCGGTGCACCTGCGGCCCGGTGACCGAGTGCCGCCGCTGCGGCCTGACAATTGAGCCGACTGTATTCTGACCCGGAGCGTTCGGAGCCGGGATCAGCAATGAACAGTTGGTCCAAGGAGCATGGTTTACAGCCAGGTGAGCGCGCAATGTAGCGCACATCTCACTAGCTGCTGTTGGGAAATGTAAAAGTCATTAGCAGGTAATGAACACTACGTGAAGCACCCGACAGAGTTGAACGTATACGGCTGAAGTCGCCATCGCTTGTCTAACTGCTCCAGTACTTACACATAGTTGAAACAATGTCTCGACGAAAATGATGAAAGAGCTAATGCCATGCCTTGCCTTGCCTGAAAGGGACCCTCCCACCTTAACATAAGTTTTGAGTTGAGATAGCCAAAATGGGGTCCCTGGCTCACAATTACCGGTTTCGGCACTCACAACATCGAGAAATGCCTTAAATCGGAAATATTGAATTTCAAAATTGCAGCGTTTTGATTCAGAGGGGCTAATGCATAGGAATACCCCTCTGAATGTGTGACGTCAGCGCAGATATCTAGCGATTTTTAAATGTTTGACTAAAACGTTTTGTAGCACGCGGTGGTATACGCTGCTTTCCGCGCAACAAGTGCCGCACTTTCAAATAAAGTCGCTAGAAAGAGCGGAGATCCCAAAAAGTAAACAAAAGTAAAAGTCTAATATCTTGAAAACCGGTGCATATTTTTCGGTGAAGTTTGGTAGATATTCGTTTTCGCTCTTTCTGAACCGAGCGACATCACTTTCATGCCAATTCATAAACTTTTTTGAAGGTGGGAGGGTCCCTTGAAGGAATATTTTGTTCAGTGCTCGGTATGGCTCCTACGAGCATTGCTAGAGATGTCGTCGGCAAAGGTTGACTTTCGAAATCTGCAATTAGTGTAATTATTTTCGTTCTGTGGTATTTGCAGGAAGATTAACATGTTCTATTTTCTCTCAGAAATATTCAAAAGGACAGCAGCGTGATTCGTGAAGTGAATTTGCTAGTCGCATCCCTCTGAAGTCACGTTGGAGACACAATCTCAAATGAATCCGGCCCAGAGGTGCCGTACCGCTCATTTCTAATTTGGCAGTTCCAGGAATTATGCTCTATTTTAGTGTAAATGTGACAATTACTGCGGGGATGACGCTCGCCATTTCCGACTGACCTTACGTTGATTGCATTAACGTCTCGGAAATATACCAAACTCAGGGATGATGTGCAGAGGTACAACGACAGGAGAACTAGAGGGTAATTATATAGACGGGAGGAGACGGGGAGAGGTAGAAATATTGGAGCTCTTGCAATAACGACAATTGACATATCATCAATGCCCCGCAAACGCGGTCTACCGAAGCCATACGCACATATTTATCGGATGTAGTGATGTTGAATTACGAACACGCAAGAGAAGCGGTTTAATCGTTTTAATAAAGATATGCGCTGCAGTGTGCTTACAATAATTAATCATTATAGGTAAACAGCATGTTTTATGAAGGTTACCAATGTATTCAATGGATACATGCACAAACACAATATTTGCATGCTACCAATATGCATGTGCATCTAGAGGACACTTTGATGTGCATCTTGTTACCCTGCCGACACCGATCGCTATTTTGTAACAACTTACTACTTATTCAATGGAGCCTGAGCTCAGCGCTTGCACCTAAACTCTGTCGCTGCCAGCAGAAACTCGCGAAAACATGTCAACGTCAGTGCAACTAAGCATGCCGATACCTCATCGTCAATCTGAATAACTCACTTTGCCAGTCGTGCCCACTTCTCTCTCTCTCTCTCTCTCTCTCTCTCTCTCTCTCTCTCTCTCTCTCTCTCTCTCTCTCTCTCTCTCTCTCTCTCTCTCTCTCTCTCTCTCTCTCTCTCTCTCTCTCTCTCTCTCTCTCTCTCTCGCCCTCCCTCAATCCACTAGCCAAAGTAGTCTCCTGAGACTCCATCATTTCTCCATACATCCGTCGCCGGTCGTTTGCTGTCAGCGGGGCAGAGTACCTAACCGTCCACCGCCGACCATCAGTTTCTCACAGCCTCGTATCGGGCTCCTCGGTGTGACCTGAGCGGGGGACCTCCGGTTCGTCCTCACAGTGCACCACGAAGAAGCGGCGGTCACTGAAGAGATCCTCAGTCTGCAGCTGGTCCCAACACTTCAGCCGCATTATCAGTCCTGTTGAAAGAGGGAGGGAGGGAGAGAGAGAGAGAGAGAGAGAGAGAGAGAGAGAGAGAGAGAGAGAGAGAGAGAGAGAGAGAGAGAGAGAGAGAGAGAGAGAGAGAGAGAGAGAGAGAGAGAGAGAGAGAGAGACGGTTGTCAGCCTCATGATTAGATTACAAAGTCAAGAGCAACAAACACTGAATCTGAATAGCAATACCTATACCGCAGCTTCAGATTGCGTTTCTAATGAGGGTCAAAATTAGATTAAGGATGCTAATTAATCAGTCTAAGGTCGGCCACCGAACCCTTTCCCGACCCTCAGGGAAGTCCACATACATGGCACCGCCGACTCGAGCTTCAGGGGCTTTGCTAGCCTGGAGGCGGGGATTTGACCAGCGGTAGGGATCTGGCCGGTGGAAGTTCCACTGATCTGTCAGCGACAGATGACAGTTCCACTGACCTGTCAGCGCGCCGCCCAGAACGCCGATGATGAGTGAGATGACCAGGGCGAGCATCTGCATACCGCCCTGGGCCGCAGCCGACCGACCGGAGCCGGCAGCCACGCCCCACTCCGGCGGCAACTGCTCCCAGCTGGAGCTGTTGGAGGCAGGAGCCATCGCCGGAAACAGCACGTACAAACTGCCGAACAGCGGGTCAGGGTCAGGTCAGGGTCAGGTCAGGGTCAGGTCAGGTGGGGACCGGGTCAGGGTCACGTCAGGGTCAAGTCAAGGTCACACCATGACCAGGTCTTTTCGGGATCAAAGTACCTAATCACATCTATGTATACCATACATTTACCAATTTCGCGGTGTATCAAAGCAAATGAAAAACAAACAAAAAACAAACACAGAAGACAGAGTGGTCGGGAGACGGATCACTCCTCCTGTCATTCGGTGAATCCAATTACGGCCGGGACAGAGCGCGTATTGATCACAGGTGATCCGGACTTTCGCTGACCTGGAGTGGTACTGCTCCTCAGTGGCCAGCGCCGCCAGCACGGCGCCCACCACGCCGGCCAGCACGCCCGGCAGGCCGTGCAGGTTGTGCACGCCGCACGTGTCGTGCACGCGGCAGTGCTTGGCCAGCGCCGGCTGTGTGCACAGGCACAGGGTCAGTATACGGGAACGGCTGTGTGGGCTGGATCAGTATACGGGAACGGCTGTGTGGGCAGGGTCAGTATACAGAAACGGCTTTGTGCATGGTGTCAGTATACAGAAACGGCTTTCTGCACGGTGTCACTGAAGTGACAGCAGTGTGCCGTTGTTAAAGGTAGTGTGCCACCTTTGAAAGATTTCCCATTTTATTTTTCCTAGGATAAGAAGCTTCTGTTTTTACCTAATATCGCAAAAAAAAATCAAAAATGGGCCTGGAATAGTGCCTTTTTCGCCTAAAAGTTTTTCGGTTTTTAGATATGTACAACAACTGTAGTGGGCTCACCTGCAAACAGGCGTCGGGCAACAATCGCGAATGCGGCGCACTTGTGACAATAAGCAAAGGTCATTATAGTGTTACGACCATACGACGTACGGGAATGAGTTATCAGCTGTCTAATCGTAGACAACACAATGTCGAGCCTTAAACTGTAAGCCCGTATTGGTATTGTTTCTTTTATTTGGCTGTCGAACATTATTTATGGTTTGAAATATGATTTTATGTAAAATAATTGATATGAAAAAGCCGTCTTATAAGTTATGACCCCATTTCACCACAAGCAAGTGGCAGAAATGACAATGATCAGCTGACGCATTTTTCTTGGCCGAAGTCAGAGCGCGCGGCCCGACGCACCACGCGTATTTGGAAATTCCGACCTCGACGAGCATCAGAAGCCACCTAACAGGCGTGTTCGAAACCGCAGGAGCTGATGATGAACGGGTTTATCGAAACTTGATTGGATGAGCATATCGGTAATAGCGATTTCAGTGTGTGCATTTATTGTTCATAGTGGTGTGAAATGTGGTTGGGGTACGACCGACAACCCGTCGGGGCGAATTTCGCACTGGGGTACTCAAAATTTGAAGAATTTAAGACGTTTCCATGAGTTTTAAAGGTATGGATAAGTTCTAAAAATCCGGTTCTCCTTATCTGGGCCATTAACCCGCGCCCCGCTGGGGGGGGGGGGGCAGAATCTGCCCCCCTCCCGTTTTTTGCCAATAACTTCCAAACGCGTTACGCCAGCGACGTCAAACTTTCAGTACCTTATCATACATCAATTTGACACGTTCCCTGAAAATTTGAGCGAAATCCGTCGGAAACTTTTGAGAAATTGACGTTTTAGTGACGTCATGTTCGCCATTTTCGCCTCAAAAACGGCAAAATTTCAAACGCCGCTAACATCTTCATTTTTGAACGAATCAAGACGTAACAAAAAAGGTTATACGTGATTCTACTTTGTCTATCAAATGGCTATCTCGGTTTTTTGAAAATTTTGGATTTTGACCCAAATTTTTTCAAAAAACGGGCTTTTTTTGGAAAATAATCATAAAATCAAAAATTTTGAGTGTATCGAAAAAACCGGAATATATGTCAGAGACGTGGTCTATGTGCACCTACATACCAATTTTTAGAAGAATCGGTTCAAAAATGTGGGAGTTATTCAAAATTTTATGACGTCATGACAAACAAAAATTTTGAAAAATGATTTTTTTTTTGGAAGTTCTAGACCTCGTACGGAAATAAAAATAGCACCATTCGATTCGCCGTGAAAGACTGCATCAGATAGACACCTTTTTAGGCCTTAAAAACCAACTTCAAAATTTGACCTCACTTGACCTGACCTTGACCTGACCTCGACCTGAAATTCATCCAGAGGTGGTCCATATCACCTATTGAGTGTGCCTATTGAATTCTATGAGTAAAATGACCCATAAAACATGTGTCGCATATGCCCTTTTCTATATTTTGGTTTTGGTGACCTGACCTGACCTGACCTGACCTTGACCTTGACCTTTGAATGACATTGTATGTAACGAATATTGTCTTGGTAGTCTAAGAACACGTTTTGGGCAATCAGTCGCAGTCCATTCTTCGGCAACTACGGTGCAAGGCCGATACTGTAGAAACTTGCATTTTGTACCCTTGACCTGACCTTGACCTGACCTCTGACCTACTTAAGCAAAAAAACTTGGGTTCTTTAGATCCGCCTCGTTGAGAGCTTTCGATTGCCGTTTTCCCCGTCTTTCTACGACCATCGGTTCGGAAGTTAGACAGGGGGGGCAGAATCTGCCCCCCCCCCCAGCAGGGCGCGTATGGCTGAATAGCCCAGCGGGGCGCGGGTTAACTCCATACGGTCCAAGAAAGCTGGCACACTACCTTTAACCGTGTGGCTGGTCATCAGATGAACAAAGAAACAGGAGCTTTTCTCATTAGTTTTCCCAGCCGCTATCTCCTGCTGTTGCTAAGTGCTTAGCAGCACTGCCTTATACTGACTTCCAACATTATCTTAGAGAAACATTACATCTTTTGTCTGTTAATTCTGTCTGAAACATTCATATCAAGGCCTTTATCCTACTGATGTCCATTCACTGCGCTTTTTCTGACCGTGATTTTTTCGAAGCCGACGACTGAGATGGCTCCGGCTATGGTGCCGACGATCAGAGCCCCGACCGGCTGGACTGCCATGTCTGCCGCTGTGCCGATCGCCACTCCGCCAGCCAGCGTGGCGTTCTGCACGTGCTCCTAAGTGGAGAGGGGTGAACGGTTTGGGGTGTCAGTGATACCTTTTGCCACAGTCGTGTTCTGGACGTGCTCTGGCTTTTGCCTTTTTTCTTTTCACCAGTACAGTCTCACTATTGTACCTAAGCCAAAGAGGTGCACTTTGGAATGGGCTTGGAAGCTATTCCCTTCCTTTAGCTGTTGCGATCGAAGCCTCAAAGGCCATAGCAGCATGCACGAATGGTGGTCCGTTATGGTGTCTAGACACATTATTCAGCGGCGGAAAAGCACATTCGCGCTAGCACGGTCCATCGGTAGTGACACACAGGCGGCTCCAGTTTTGATGGAAGCAAGACACGCGGATAGGTCGTGCATATTTGGTGATAATATCGACGGCTTTTGCCCGCCGTCAGTCAACACAAAGCGTCATCAGCAGGTCCGCTGTATCAAGTAGTCTAATTAAATCGCAATATCCCAATTTTAACCTCACTAACCATTGTGAACTTCCCCTGCCTGTGGAAGAGCGCCGACACGGCGAAGGTGGTGACACAGCTGGCCGCCAGCGACAGGTAGGTGTTGATGACAGCTCGGTGCTGGTCATCCCCGACCGCCAGCGCGGAGTTAAAGCTCGGCCAGAAACACCACAGGAACAGCGTGCCTGACGATAGGAGATTTTGTGTTCGTGCTTTATTTGCTATAAGCCACCTACAAATATGCACGAATTACAGGTTTCGAGTATTGCATTTCATATTCACTGCAACAGCCAACACAAAAAGAGCAAGCGTTCCGTCTAGGGTCTGTTTGGCTCTAGCCATCCTTTGGTGCTGTATTGATCGCATTACGGTTTCACCGAAGGTCCGATGCGATGGATTGCACTGACGAAAATGCTCGACGCTATTGATCTCATTGGTCATTGCCAATGTCACTGGGTATACCTAGCAACATGTACTCAGGACGACCCGTTACATCGGGTACTAACATCGTTTGATATGGCCGATCAAGGCTCGACCCGAATACCCACCGATCATTGAGAACAGGTCCGAGTTACTGCTGGAGCCGGCGTTGTCGCTATCGCTGTCCTTTCTGTACAGCACGAAGCTGACAGCCAGGCCGAAATAGGCGCCGAACGCGTGCACAAACATGGAGTCCCCCATGTCGGTGACCTGGAGGTGGGGAGGTCAGGGTCGGGAGGTCAGGGTCGGGAGGTCAGGGCACCGCCAGCTCACCGGCCGGCCGGCCGATGCAGCAGGTATTGATGTGAGTCGCAGCCAGTCCCGGCAGACCGGCCGGTGCCAGCACAAATCAATGACCGCCTGGGTGACTCGGATCCGATGGCCACCAGTAATGAAACAAGTTGTCAGCGGTCCTTCCCACAACATCCGCCCGGAGATATGATGCATGTCGTCATTAGCTATATAACCCCATGGGGACCCCGCCATAGGTGGGCTGACAACATTGCTCATTAGGAGCCATTTCTCCTGCTGGGAGAAACATATACCTGACATTTCTTTCATCGCTAGCAAATGTTTGGGATAGCCGCTCAAATACATCGCACACAGCGAAATAAAAACCAAGAAGTTATTTTTTCCGCCAATCTACAATTTTACTTCAACTTACTTACTTCTCTGTACGGTAGGCAGTCCATTGATCGGCAATAACGTATTTAATTAATATATTAACTTATTAGATGCCTAATTATTAATTAAACAAAAGTAGACAACTACTTTACGACACTAATTGTAACATGAAAGCGTTCGCTTTCATTCAATCACCGCAAAAAAATGAATGATCATGATACTTGTAGGTATTATGCATATGATAACAGGAAATATTTACTCATGTCCAGTTTCCGACAAAAATAAACTGTCATGCAATGCAAGATACCAATGCTACTCTTTTCAATTTACCGGTAACACTCCGCTCATTTTGACGTATCGAAAATCGTCAAAGCATGTTCTCATAAGCACTTACCATCAGGTATTTTCGTCCAATCACTTCGTTGATGACGAAAATCGGAACCTGCAAGAAAGTTGAATTAGTTGAAGAACTGATAGAAAGTTGAAAACTGATAGCTTCATCGCCATCAGTACATCAAATTTTGTTTTATATATGGAATAACACAATGCTTGGCTTCTTTATTTTCCGTCAAGATTCATGAGATAAAACTATGATCGACATAATCGGCAGACAATGCATTACGAGTTATAACATTAATTCTCAGCACATCCAGGGGAACGTAGGACGCCCAAGTACCGCCCATGTAGGATTCATCTGGACGGGAACTGTGTCACCGTCTCCAATTGATATGTTACCTCGAGAAGGGCCATGACGATCAGCTGAGAAGGGGAGGTCTTGCCGAGGACGACTCCAAACGAAATCAGAACCGCTGCCGCCGTGAAGTCCGCCCCAAGAAGACTGAAAGATAAAAAGACGACATGCATATGCACGGAATGAGCACAAAAACTATGCAACGAAATACCTACTTGACGTCTTGTATACATATTTTGCCAGTTCATATGCACAGAATAATGGATCGAAATCAGCATTGCGAAACGGTCACCACCAGCGCACTAAATGAAGCTGAAAAGGAATATCATAGTGAATATTATGAAAAGAATGTCATAAATCATAATATCATATCGTAAAATACCATATAAAAGGAATATCACCGTGTAAACATAAAATATATTGATATAGGATAAACATGCCGTACATAAGACTAAAAGACAGGCTTTCGCTGACGAGTATAATACGCAGTGCGTATTATACTCGTCAGCGAAAGCCTGTCTTTTAGTCTTAACTCTTATGTACGGCATGTTTATCCTATATCAATATATTTTATGTTTACATTACGCAGGATGAACCGAGGTGCCGGAGCCGAGGTGAACGGACGGCAGCTCGAACGGCTGTTATCTAGCACCGTGGCCTGATTGCCAGAGGCTGCGTGAGCGCAATATAGATCGCAGCAGCCGTTCGCAAAGTGGGTATATGGCTGGCCTGAGGCTCAGGTCAACGGCTATAGGCGTCCAGAGGTAATAAAAGACGAGAAGGAGAGGCTATTACCGGTTTATTTGCCATATAAGGTCAGAGAACGGGCTTGAACCTAAAATACCAGGGTACACATACCTATATCAATTATTAATTTTTAAGACAGAATAGAAAGAACATAATTTCGAGGAAAAAACAAGCAAATAAAGCACGGCGGTGCCTTTCATGGCGTAACGTGGCCTCAGGTGCAAGAGCCATGTATCACTCATTTGTGTATCTTTCATTTATTATTGTTTTAGCAATAACTCATCTTCAACCCTACCTTCACCCTACCCATACCTCACCTGTTGGCATCCACCTGGATTTTGCCGTGGTGCAGGTGGAAGAGCCCGTTGACGAGGATGGCCCACTCCAGCACCAGGCCGGCCACCAGGAAGTTGACGCTGACCGAGCTCAGACCGTAGCGCTTCAGAAACGTCATCAGAAAACCGAAACCGATGAAAATCATCACGTGGACGTCTTGGAACACTGTAACGGAGCAAAAAGCTGGACTCAGCCAACGCCAGAGCCGAATGCTCTTACTAAAGTCGAGAAACTTTTTTTGATTGAGCCACACACAGAAAAATATTAACACCGTTAGCGGTGTAATTGCACAGTACATATCTGAGCACTTGAGGAAAGTTATTTTAGTCCCTTCCCCGCTTAAATTACTCGCGCTTCCAAATGAACACCAGGAAGAAGGTAATAGAACACTGTTAGGAGGGTTGGGTGTTTTGCTACATGTAGTAAAACACCCAACCCTCCTAACAGTGTTCTATTACCTTCTTCCTGGTGTTCATTTGGAAGCGCGAGTAATTTAAGCGGGGAAGGGACTAAATTAACTTTCCTCAAGTGCTCAGATATGTACTGTGCAATTACACCGCTAACGGTGTCAATATTTTTCTGTGTGCATTAGCATCTCAAAATAATTCCCCCATAAAAAATCAAATACTTACTGAACATCTTTGAGTCGAGATGCTGATTCATAATGCATAAGTGCGAGAGCATACTTTTAGTTGCGATATAACACAGATTAGTGTTTTGTGTGCACTGTTTTCTCAGTACAGCCCACCGCTGAAGTAATGTTCGATTTTACCAATCTCAACGGACTGACGATTTTTAAATACGGAGTGATCCAGGAGTAGATACATGATAAACTTGCAGCTGCAAGGATGACGATACATGCAAGCTACATTCCAAGTGTCATTTTAGTCTGGCAAGTCGTTCCTAAGATACAGAAGGAAAGCATAACCACGACTGAAACCGCACATTACTTCTGCGGTGGACTGTACCTACTTCAGGGTGCGGGCTGTTATATTGTGAAAGTTAAAATGAATCAGAGTGTCCTACATATATGTATTATGTAAGGCATAGTTTGGGCATTGGCATTGGTTTGGTATTTCAAAGTTACGATGTCTCTGTGTTACCACTCCAGCCACAAACAAGTGATCATCTGCCTTCGCATTCATGCATGCACGCACACACACAGCTCCCTACGCGTGCAAAGGTATATGTTAATAAATCAGCTTGACGTTGACGTGATTTAATTAATTATGGGACATCCGGTTGAAGAAATAAGTGTATCCGTAGCTGCGATAAACTCCAAGACAGCCCCCTAATTAATTAGTACGAACGAAAGATCCGTGTGCGAAGAGCAATCCCCGTCAGCGTCGGTTGTTCCCAGTATTTTTCCGGTTCAATAGGGAGATGCTCATGCTGTCGTCAGAATTTAATTGCCTTTAATGCGCATCCAGCGGGCATCTCTACAAAAAAATCTCTTAGGATAATGAATTGAGCGTGTTCGCATTAACCGGCCCATATTTAATGCATACCAATTACATATGCAGGATATAGGTATATCGCCATTGAGTTGTTTCCAGCGGGAAGCTTTATGCTAAACTTTATGCTAAACTTTATGGGTGTCAACCGCATAAGTGTGAATTGCAAATGTTAACAATCTTGTATGATATGTGCGAACGGTGCGAGGCTGTGTTATCTGTGCTTTTGCCAGTTCCCGTTGTAATGCCCACTTGTTTGTGGTTGTTGGGTGAACCGAAAAATAAAATAATAAATAAATAAATAAATAAACCTTTGAGTCAAATATGCCATGAGACACAAACCTTCGCTCCAGCAAAATGTTACAGGCCGTAAAAACGTAAAACCGTCCACCGAGAAATGCCAGAGTCGTAAGCATCGCAAGAACTCGTATGAATGTTGTACTGTAGTTCTATACACTGCTCATTTATCTGATGAATGGACTGTCATTTATCCTTGTTTATAGGTAACGATCCCCGAAAAGCAATGGGTAGGGTGTTTGTTGCAAGCATTGTGATAACACCAAAAGTTCAAAACATTCTGTAATAATTGTAACTTTTCATGACTCCATATCAGGAAAAGCAGCAATGTAGTTAATTAAAAATCCCATTCGAATCGTAGTTCCTATCTCGACCAGTCCGAATGTGTTCTCGATTTACGTGCCCTCTGATGACGCTCCACCCAGTTTCCCCGCGCGTTCCATTCCTCTCCACTCACTGGGGTAGATCCTCGAGTGGGCCGCGCCGTCCGACGTGGTCTCATGGTCTCCGTGACCTGTCCGAGTCTCATCAGCGTCCGGGTGGTAGACGGTCCGAGTCTCATCGGCGTCCGGGTGGTAGACGGCCAGAGCCGCGAACAGCCCGATAAACACCAACTGCAGCAGGCAGAGCAGCAGGCCGTGCCGCGACCGCAGCGCCACCGACGCCCCCATCACAACCGGGACGGAGATGGGACAGGATGGGATGAGATAGGAAGAAGGAAACGGTGTAGAGAAACGGGATGGAGACGGGACGGAGACGGAACGGAGAGAAACGGAGACGGGACGGAGACGGGACAGAGACGTTTAGGAATGTGGTTGAGACGGCAGACTGGTAGCCGAAACGAATTAAGTTTGCGAAAAGGACTGCGGTAGGCGGTTAGCTCACTGGAGATGCGAACAGAAAATGACACAGAGACTAGCTCCTTGGCATCACAACTGAGCGGACGCGTCTCGGGAGCCAGAAGGAGGCGTCGCCGTCAGTGCCAGCGGGCATCAGGGGCGGAGGCACGGCGCCAGTGCGGAGGCTCGTCTTGACCCGCCCACCGTCTGCTGCCGCTGACTTCGGGTCTGCCCACCGAGCCACCAAATAGATCGGTCCTACCCCACCCGGCCTCTCCCGGTGCTGCGGTCATCTTCAAGGGCATCTGGGAGGCTCGACCCGTGGGCTTGTCCCGTCTCAAGGTCAGCTTTTTACGTTTTGGTTCCATGTCTCTCATTTATCTTGTTCTTGTTCGTTCGCTCCACATGAGCTCCTCGCGTGAACTGAAAAGGTCGCCATGGAATATGTTGGCGGCGCGCCTGAAGGCTGAATAAACCTTGATTTGATGAGACTGTTTTATTTTGTCTGTAGTTTATTTATTTATTTTCTGTCATTTTGCGGTGAGGTTAGTTTATCTACAGATTCAGGGTTCAAGGCTTACATATTTAGAGAAGTGCTGGAAACGGTACTAATATTTTCCGATAAACGGTAACCATGTAATAACAGTGTATCCAGTAGCATCCTGTATAGGTATTATTGGTGCCGCATTATGAAGTGACCAGAATGTCGGTGATCGTCCCATATCGTCGCGGCTGCTCCGCGCCGGTATCATCCAGCGGCGGCGCCCGCCGCCCGGAGCGACAAAAACAAATAACTCCACACCTGCCAGAGCTAGCCTATAACGCATTCCTGCGCGTGACTGGAAAATGCAATCAACGCGCGACTTTGTGCTTATTGGCATTGTTGACGTCTGACGACACATTTTTGGAATAAGGAACGAAACTAGTTGAATGCAATTATTTGTGAAGACTCTACGGGGGTCCTGGTATATATGACATAGGTTCCTATAATAACCTGTTATGCTCAGAAAGGTAAACCCGCGCCCTGGTGGGGTCTAATTATAATGTGACCGGTGGGGGAGGCTATCCCCCCTCGTATCTCCGACAGTTCGATACTGACCGGATTTACAAAACTCACATGACGATCGATAGCTTTGTAAAACCATCCAGGGAAAATTAACTTCATCGACCACTGGGCCACCGATGACGTCACAGGTCAGGTCAAAGCTTGCATTTTTAACCGTTTACGACTTTCTTGGGAATGCGTTATGACATCGAGTAAAAGGCATGTTGTCGAAAATCATCGATAAAGCGTCGTTTGCTTATAGATATGCTGCTTGAAGAAGTCACTGCTACTAGGTCAGGTTACAGAGGTCAGGTCACTAAGGGTCACTAAAGATTACGTGACAAAAGATCGTAAGACAAAAGATCTTATGGAAAAAGATCGTCGGAAAATGATCGTAAGATAAATATCATATGTTGTAAAAGATCGTAAGACAAAAGCTCGTAAACATAAGATCGTAAAGAAAATGGACTTATGTAAGGAGATCGTAGGAAAATGATCGTAAGATAAAGATCGTATGTTGCAAAGAGTTGCAGAGATGCTTATATACCTCATTTTCTCAAACGATCAGATACCTATTATTTTGGACTAAATCACTGAAAGAAATTCATGATATGAAGATCTTTGTTGTGAAAGAGATTTGGTGCAGACTTGATCAAATTTATAGGTGCATTCGCCGGATAGCCCGTCGTGAAAACGGCTGATAATGACGGGCATGTGAGCTGTTATAGACCCAAGCCCAACGACTGATACCCGCTGCTAAGGTTTCAGGGCAACAACAGACCTCTGAGGTCTTTAAGTGTCTCACGATAACTAGGTGTTCGTTTTTCTTTATAAACACCTTCGGCAAAAGTGTTAGCATACAAGCGATTTTGGCGCCATCGTGTTTATCATGCTTACATGCGCTAGATAATGTACCTTTTATTTTGGGACGATCAGCATTTGTGTTGCTTAGGCCATTGGAGTCCAACGAGACCATTCAAGGGCCGCGGGATCTAAAGAATTAGAGGGTGACATTGGTCTGGACTAGGTACTCTGGACGGCTAACATGGTGCGCCGCCGGGGCTGAGGTCGCCTCAGACAGCCGCCCTTACATCCCCGTCACCACACCCTCTAAGCCTGCTCCCGAGGAGTTGCTCAATGCTCATGTCGGATTTGACCGTCTTGGCTTGAACAGGGTTTTCGGGGTTCCAGGAGAGGGACAGGTGCTTCCTGAGGATATGTGAAAAAGATCGGAACCTTAGGCTGGAGCGTCTGCTCCCTGTCTGTCTGCAGTACCTTGGCTCCTGCCGCGCTGCGTTTTCGTCGGCTTCCTGCGAGCTCTGGCGTCCTCTATCCACTGGCCGTGGTGCCTCCGACCACCCGAGGGCGAGCTTGCCTGCCAGATGGCGCCTCTGTCGTCGTAAATGCATCACAATAGGGAGTCTGAGAGGGGTTACGGACAAAAGTACGTATCGCTAAAGTACGTAGGACAAAAGTACGTAAGCAAAAGTACGTAGGATTAAAGTACGTATCGCAGAAGTACGTACAGCATAAAGTACGTATGGACAAAAGTACGTCAGGGACAAAAGTACGTATCGCAGAAGTACGTACAATATAAAGTACGTATGGACAAAAGTACGTCAAGGACAAAAGTACGTATCGCAGAAGTACGTACAGTATAAAGTACGTATGGACAAAAGTGCGTCAGGGACAAAAGTACGTATCGCAGAAGTACGTACTGTATAAAGTACGTATGGACAAAAGTACGTCAGGGACAAAAGTACGTATCGCAGAAGTACGTAGGGTATAAAGTAAGTATGGACAAAAGTACGTCACGGACAAAAGTACGTATAGCTAATGTACGTAGGGTAAAAAGTACGTATGGACAAAAGTACGTCACGGACAAAAGTACGTATCGCAGAAGTACGTAGGGTATAAAGTACGTATGGACAAAAGTACGTCACGTACAAAAGCCTACGTATAGCAAATGTACGTAGGGTATAAAGTAGGGTAGCCTTGGGCAAAACGCCCCAGATAATTTATTTCGCTACATAGGTACCTACTTTTGTCTCACATCACCTGGAAGGCCAAATTTGTGCCCAATGTGTTCTTTGGACATTTTACTTTAAATTCCATCCCTCAAATTCATTCACTTATGATCGAACTCCCAGCTAGGAAGTGCTTTGTGAAGCAACTGCAAATGGGGCAATTTGCCCCAACCCCAGGGCAAAACGCCCCACGGCCTGAGGCAAGAAGCCCCATACACTAGATTAACCCTCGCGGGCCCGGGGGGGGCGTTTTTCGCCCCCCTCCTGGCGAATATTTCCGATAGCTCCCGAACGCTTAGGGATAGGAAAGCGAAATTTTCAGTACCTTTTCTTCCATCAATTTGGCATCTTCTGAAATAAAAAAAATTGGACCTAGCCCCATTGATGACGTCACAGAGTCGATTTTTCTAGACCCCTGCACGGCAAACTTCGGTGTCACAGACGCGAACTTCAAATAGCTGCTAAAAATAGAGTTTTAAAGATAAAGACAAATTACGAGCACGGTTGTGTAGCATTTGACCTAGACAAAAATACAAAAATAGTTTTAGTGACCTGCGATCAGAGGTCAGGTCAACGACCCCGAGCTGTGGTTTTAGTTTTTCGCAAATAACTTCGACAAAAATGGTCCTAGAGCTACGGCAGTGGTACCATCGCATTTGTCTTGTCAAGCCGCGTCGAATGATATATATTTTGTTTGGAAAAGGGCAAGTTTTATGTTGACCTCATGTGACCTCAAATGACCTTTGGTTGACCTTGACACATCAAAAGTCGTTTATGATGGATTCGTACCCGCTGATCACGAATCTGGCATCTATTTTCCTCTAAGCCTTTATTTAGAGCCTCCGGATGGCAAAATTGTCTTATTTATTATTACTAACTTGAATCAGTGAAATAGTCTCTAGCAAGGACTCTCTTCGATGACCTTGACCTTTGAGCAGCCTTGTATCGTAAGATGAACCACAAATAGGGACCTGATAAGTGATAAGCCTCAAAACATTTCAAAACATCTTGGAAGTTGACACACAAGATGTACGAAAAAGTGTAAGTTTGAGGTCAATTTTGAGCATGACCTTGACCTTGACGTTTGATGTTGAGCACATTTTCGGAATTCTCAGATTCTCTTCTTTTGTTTGACACCCAATTTTACCGGTTTTATGCATCCTGCCGTCCTCTAGAACGCTCACTTTGAGATCACTACACATGTGCCGGTTTTTGCCTTTGACCTTGACCTCGAAAATTGACCCGAGGTCAACAATTTTGGGTGCTTTAGAAGCGTCTCGTAAGGACCTTTCGTTTGGTATTGCTTTTGTTTGCGTAGCTCTCTTAATCTACGGAGTTAGACAGGGGGGCGAAAAACATCCCTCCCCGGGCTGCGGTGGTTGGAATTACCCCCGGGCCCGGCCGGGTTAACAGAAGAGAGGATCTTTCCCCAGAACCCTGCCAGTTCCGAGAAACATCGGTGAGGCGTTTTACCTCGGCGGGGAGACTTGCCCCGGTCTACCCTACGTGTGGACAAAAGTACGTCACGGACAAAAGTACGTATAGCAAATGCACGTAGGGTATTAAGTACGTACCCCACCCTTGGGTTAAGTTGATCAATGTGTAATACCTTTCTTATTCTTTATTTAATGAGCATTTGTTACAAAGCATGGCAAAATTTCTCGATGAGTAAATGGGCGAAATGGACAAAGCTATATTATTTGGTATATGAATTTATCATGAGTTCCCTGTAGTATGGCAACAGAGCAGCAATAAAGAAAAAGTGGCTCAACTTACACTACTATACCCTACTTCTAGCATACGTTCTTTATACACTACGTACTTTGGCATACGAACCGTACGCACTTTTGGCATACGTACTTTTTACACTACGTACTTTTGCATACGAACTTTTGCGTACGAACATTTGCGTACGTACTTTTGGTATACGTACTTTATACACTACGTACTTTTGCAAACGTACTTTTGCGTACGAACATTTGCGTACGTACTTTTGGCATACGTACTTTATACACTATGTACTTTTGCATACGAACTTTTTCGTACGAACATTTGCGTACGTACTTTTTTCATACGTACATTTTACACTACGTACTTTTGCATACGTACTTTTGCGTACGAACATTTGCGTACGTACTTTTAGCATACGTACTTTATGCACTA